CCTAAAGGGATCCTGACAGTAGTGCAGCGTCTGGACTGTAGGCAGTGATGGGGCGGCCAGGAAGGTGGGCTCTGGAAGCGTTGGGTGTAAGCCACTGCTGCACCGGGCGAGAAGCGTCCCAGAGCGAGCACCACTGAAATCTCCGGAGGCGGGCCAAGAGTGGGACGAGACCTCGGTGGGTTTACTGCCCAGTGCCCTCACAAGGCAAGGGCACCACGGGCTTCCCCCGCGTGGTGCCGCATCTGCAGAAATTGCAAGCCTGACTTGGGCGCCCGTGAACGTGCTCGAGACTGGGCATCTGAGACCTCTCCCAGGTACGGCCCCGAGTAGCTTTACGACCCGCGTCTGGCCGTGGCGCAGAGGAGGCCCACCCGAGGGCCGACAGAGAACAAGGAAGGTGAACGCAACGACAGCCCAATCACAAGGCATCGTGCACAAATCCATGCGTCGCTGGGACAAAGCCGAACACACACAAAACACCCCCCCCGATCCAATCTGCGTGCGGGATTTCTTGAGCGCTCGCTGGAACAATCCCTGAATGTCCTAGGAGAGCACATATTTCAGGAGGGGAAAAAACACACAGACACAATTAATCGGCGATCCCCAGAAAATATGGGAAAATATGGGAAGTGGGGGGGAAGACAGAAACCCAGAAAATATGAGAAACTATGGGGGAATATTTTATTTGTGTGTATTTATTTGTGTGTCTTGGGGCCCCTTCAATATTCGAGTCGATAAGTCGTGTCGGCCATCGACATGAATCAGATCGGCGGAAATCGGCAGCCGAGTCCGGAGCGGTCGAATCGGCGAACATCGGCAGGCCAGTAAGCCTCAACTGACCAATCGGAATCCGAATCGGAATCCCAAATCGAATCGACTCGTAATCGGAAACCATCGAAATCGAGTCGAATCGAATCGGAGGAATTAAGACGAGCCCTGATGTCCTGGGGACTGGGACCAAGAGAGAAGCCCTGTCGTGACCAACCGCGACGCCCGAAGGCCAGGGAGGCAGCATGACGCCAGAGCAGCCTCATGCCGACCAGGGACCAGGCAGGCTGGGCTGACGACTGCAGGTGCCAAGGGATTGCCCGTCCTGCTCGCGCCTCACGCCTCCTCGTCTCCCCCTCTGCTCCCCTCTCCTCCAAAGCCGCTCTGCTCCTCCTCCTCCTCCTCCTCCTCCTCCTGCTCCTCCTCCTCCTCCTCCTCCTCCTCCTCCTCCTCATTCCACTCCCCAGACATTCGACGTCACAGCGTAGCTCCCCAGAGGTCTGGACCACTTCCCTGAGACCCGCTTCTCCTTCCGAATCCTTTCCTGACGGTCACGGGCCACGGGACCAGGCACCGGCCCCCAGAAGCCGGCAGCGGCCAAAAACGTCTCGTCGTGAGTCGTCTACGACGCGAGAAGGTCAGGGTCCTCCTCCTCCTGTTCCTGCTCCTGCTGCTGCTCCTGCTGCTGCTGCTGCTCCTCCTCTTTCTCTCTGCCTACCCCTCTCCCTATTCCCGCTCTCCCTCCGCTTGCGGTCTCTGCCGCCTCACGCTCTGTCCACACGCCCCTTGCCACCTTCGCTTTCTACCTATCGTTCCTCGCCTTCCCTCCCCACCCTGTCCCCTCTGCCTTATCCCCCTTCTACACGTACGCAATCTGAATTATACCCTCCTCTCTCCCCAGACACCGTTCTGGTTTGCCGCCGCCTCACCCGCATAACGATGTTTCCCATGTGTGCGCAGGATTTTACAAGTTTGCTTCCTGTGTTTTTTTCGATCGGACCTGTCTTGGTTCTTCAAGACGGTGTTCCCACGCGACTTTGGTCACATACCAGGGTCAGCGCTTCGCTCGCGCCGTGCAGGATGGTGCTTTCGCCTTAGCGCGAGCCACGCTTCTGGATCAGATTCCTTCCCCGTCGTCGCTGTCCCCCCCTTCCACCTCCTCCGTCTTCACCTGGCTCTCCTGCTCCTCCTCCTCGTGCTCCTTCCTGTTGCTGCTGCTGCTCCTCCTTCTTCTCCTTCCTCCTCCTCCTCCTCCTGCCTCTCCTCCTGCTGCTGCTGCTGCTGCTGCTGCTGCTCCACCTCGTTCTCCTCTTCCACGGTACCCGTACCACACTCAGACTGCGCATCAAGCCCCCATGTGGGCAGTTTGGACAGCAAGATGATCTAGAACATCCCAGTCAGCGGATAGGAAAGGATTTATCGGAAAAGGCAAGGGATGGGAGGAAGCGGCGGCAGGGGTGGGATGTCCAAGGGCGCGAGCGCACTTAGCTTGCCGCACGTCCATCCACCCCTCCCTCTCGACCCCCTCACTCCCGCCAGCGGTGATGAGCATATTTTCGCACTCGCATATCGTGCCCCCTCGGCTGCGGGTCTCTGCAGGAAATCTGCCTGGCCCCCTGCTCCTCCTCCTCCCCTCCTCCCAGGCGGTCTTTCTCCCCTCCCTGGCCCCCTCCTCCTTTTCTTCCTCCTCCTTCTCCTTTTCCTCCTCCTCCTCCTCCTCTTCTCCTCCTCTCCTTGCGCTTCTCCTCCTCCTCCTCCTCCTCCTCCTCCTCCTCCTCCTCTCCCTGCGCTCCTCCTTGCTCGCTTCGGCGGCGACGAGAAGCAGGCGCAGCCCTCCGAGAGGGCGGCGAGCTTCGCAGAAGGGGCCCCCGGGGCCAGCCCGCGGAGCAAAGAACGTGTGCGCCCCGCCCCTTCCGAGAGCCATAGGGGGCCCTCCGGCAGTGCCGTCCACTGGCCGTGGCCGGCGCGAGGCCAGCCCACCTCGTCCCTCCTCTCGCTCCTCGTCATCGTCCTCATCATCCTCGTCCCTCCTCTGCCGTCTTCCTCCTCCTTTTCCGTCTTCTTCCCCTCCTCCTTCTCCTCCTCCTCCTCCTCCTCTCCTCCTCCTCCTCCTCCCCCTCCTGCTCCTCCTCCTCCTGCTCGTCCTCCTCCTCCGTCTCTTCTCCTTTCTCCTCCTCCTCCTCCTCCTCCTCCTTCTCTTCTCCTTCTCCTTTCTCCTATTCCTTCCTCCTCGTTCTCCTCCTCCTCCTCCTCATTTTTGACGTTGATCGGACTGCATGCTAGAGCACGCAGCGTTCGCTCTCCTCCTCCTCCTCCGCCTCCTCCTCCGCCTCCTCCTCCTCCTCCTCCTCCCTGGCCCCTCCTCCCCTCTCCTCCCCTCTCCTCCCTCTCCTCCTCTCTCCTCCGCCCTCCTCCCTCCTCCTCCCTCCTCCTCCCCCCCCCCCGTGCTCCCCGCCCCCGCCCACGGGTCCGCCCAGCTTCTGATAATCTGCTCCATCAGGTCGACGGCGGGGGGCGCCCCGCCGACCACGGCGAGGCACGCCTCCGCTGCGGGCGCGGGGCGGCGGGCCGGCGCGCCCCGACGTCCTCCGCGGTGGCGAGACGGGAGCCTCCCATTGGCTGCCTGGTTGCCTGGCTGGCTCTTGCGATCTTCGGCGGCGAGCGAGGGGGTGAAGCGAGAGGGGGCGGGCCTTCTCAGAAGTCTCGGCACTCCCCCGGCCTCCTGAACAGTTGTTTAAGCCTCCCCAGAAGACGCACAAACACATCTCAGGGGGCGCGATGGCTTCTGAGAAGTCCCGCCGCCTTCTGAGAAGGCCTTCTCCTTCTCGTTTCCCCCCTCGCTCGCCACCGAATGTTGTCTTGTTGGCTCTTGCGATCTGTCGCTGGTCGACGCTGCTCGACGCCACCACATAGACGCTCCTCAGTGCCAGATCGGCGCTATCTCATCGATTGCCATACGCGAACCGACGCCAGTGCGCTCTGAAGACGGAATTGCGAGGGTGTACAGGACTCTCATGATTTGCAGCCACAGGAGTGGGTGCGGAAAAGCGGAAAAGTTGGGTACGATGCCCAACAGCACATGTTGTCCAAAGCCGACGGCGCCCGCTGTTGGACATGCGACTTTTGCCTCAAATGGACAACGTCCACGGCGACACCGACAATAAATCCTATGTCAACTTGTCATGGACTGCTGTCGGTCTTCGCTACCATTCTCTCTGTACCGATTTCGAACCTCCAGAATGGGTATTCGATTCTCGCGTGCTCTTCCAAACGCCGGCCCCAAGTCACCCATTCCGTTCTCGAGAGGTCGGCCAACTGATTCTGCCGTGCACCCGAAGTGCCCTCTCGCTTAGGTCAGCATTCAAGCTCTACGGGGCACAATCTGCTCAGATCGGAGCAGGCCGTTTCACGAGCAGACTGAAGGGGTCCTGGGACACGCAAATAAATACACACAGATAGCAGGATCCCCCATTTTTTAAACAATATTTCCTTGGTTTTTGTCTTCCCCACCACTTCCCATATTTTCCCATATTTTCTGGGGGATCGACGATTAATTGTGTCTGTGTGCTTTCTGTCCTTCCTGACAGACGTGGCAAAGCAGAGGGGGCAGAGGGGCAGAAAAAGGGCTTGACGAGGGCCAACAGAGGTCCCAAAGCTCCGAAGGCTCCTGGCGGACGCCGCCCAGCTCCGTGGACATCTGACGTGCCATCTGGTGGTCTTCTCGCAGCGTGCCAGGAATGTTCTGAGAACGTGTCGTACAAACCACACAGGGTTCTTAGCACAACCTTTGCTGGGCCAGTAGGCAGGTCTGAACGCTTCGCCACTGCTTGGAGGAAATGTGGGCCCCTTCGGGGGACCAATTCTTCATCCCGAATCGTTCGCTGACGGCCACGGGGCCCAACACATGTCGGCGGTGGACAAACCTCCCTTTTGTAAACCTCCCCTTCGTAAAAACGGCCTGGGACCGAAACCGACGGACCCGGACCCGCAAAAATGACGGCCGCGACGCCCTCTCGCGAACCGAAAACTGCCAATTCCTTAATCGACGTGTCAGGGTAGGAGGTCTATCCACCCTCGACCAACACATGGGCCCCTTCCGTGGCTGGGAAATTGCCGAATACCTCTCGCCGTTGGCATCTTTCCCATGGCGCGAGGCTGCCAGGCACCGCTCGCGCCGGCCGCCTGCGTCAGGAGGCCTAGGCGGAGGAGGAGAAGGAGGAGAAGGAGGGGGAGGAGGAGGAGGAGGAGGGAGAGGAGGAGGGAGGGGGAGGGAGAAGGGAGGAGGGCGAGGACGAGGACGACGATACGCTTTCACGCCATAGCTCGGGCCCCCGTCGGCTTGGCAGGGCGATGATGGCACGCGCGAAGATGTCAGCCGCCACGACCCTCGGGCCTCTGCTCGGCGGGCGGCAGCAGCTCGGACAGAGACGTGCAGTGCAGCCGCGCTGGAGGCCGCCGGGCCCTCGGCGCCCGCGGCCCCGCCAGGGGGAGGCGCGCCGAGGAGCCCCCGGCCGGGGCCGAGCCCTCCTGCGCGGGCGCCGCGGGCAGCTCCTCTCGGTGGCGGCATCGGAACCCTAATCCCCATCAACCACCGAATCTCGTAAACCGATGGGAGGCGGGGGTAGGGTTCGGATTCCGCCGTGTGTTTGACCGGGTTCCGATCCCTACCCCCGCCGCCCATGCAGGTGCCTGGATCGTTGATCGGCGAAGGTAGGGTTCGGACTTCGCCGCCGATCCTCCCGCCCGAGCCAGGAGGCGAGGGCCGCGGCGGCGTCCCAGCGGATCGCAGTCACGAGCAGCTGCGAGCTGAGGAAGGATAGCGCGGCGAACATCGACAGCCCGAACTTGTCGGCAACGAGCGCCAGGACCGCCGCCACCGCCAGCCCGCCACGGTCCTGGTGGGGGCCTGCGCTGGCCCCCGGGCCGCCAGCCGCTCCCTGCGACGCTAGCCCGTCCACGAAGAGCACAACGCCCCCAGCAGCCACGGCGTGCCGAAGGAAGTCGAAGATTGCGGGCAAGAAGCTCACAAATTCCATTGCTCCACGGGCAGCAGTAGACCATGGCAGAGTCATCGCGTCGGGGGCGTCCAACTGCACAGGGAGCTGCGCTGCACCGGGTACCCGGAAGTCCACCACGTGGGTCCATCGATGCTGCGCCAGCCGTGCGCGCATTGGAGCTCCCAGCCCACCGCCGCTCGCATGCGTGCCAGAGCCCCCCTCGAAGTACCGCCGCAGGTCCTCATCGCACGCCTCGAGCACGCAGAGATCCTGCAGCATGCGCGTGAAGCAGCTGGAGGCGTCGGCCACTGCGGCGCAGACGAGGGGGCGCTCTGGGGGCGCGCTGTCCACGCGGGAGGCCTGCGTACCTGCGCCCTCCGAGCTCGCGGCGCTGCGCGCCACCGAGCGCGGCGAATCGGTCTGCGTGCCGCTGGTGTCCTCGCGCGGCGGCGCACCCAGCTCCCCTGCGGGATCGGCGGGCCTGCAGGTGTCCTTGTGACCCGCCTCCCCGAGCACCTCGACCACCATGGCCTCGAAGCGCTTCCGCGCCGAGGATGCGCTTGGGCGTGCCTGCGGGTTCCGGGCCAACAGGAACCGGAGGTACTCCAAGAGGGGCGCGCGGTCCCCAAGGCGCCGTGCGTTGGCTGCGCTGACCTCGGTGGGCCCCTTACAGCAGCACGGCATTTTGCCAAACACACTTCCAGAGCATCGCTGCGTGGATATGAAAGCGGAGACGACCTTTGCACTTCAGACGGGGAAGCATCAGTAGCTGGGTAAATATATACACCGGCAGTGGGACGGGGGTCCAAGAAGCGAGTGTGGACAGAGGCTCGGAGAGATACTCGAACACGTATTGAAAGCGAATCGAAGCCAAAAGCAGTTGGCCTGGACCAGCGGTCCATCGACAGATCTGGAGACAAGAGAAACGGGCCCCCGCGGAACAACATATCCAACGCCAGTCCAGAAGTACAGAGTGAATTGTCTGACTCTCTCTCTCTCTCTATATATATACACACATATATGCAAGTATATATATATACATTATATATATATGCTTCTATATACACATATATGTCTATATATATGTGTAAAATCATATAGATGTGTGTGTGTCATATTTACACAATGCCGTCGACCCCTTGGGGTCCTCGGCGCGTGAGATCAGTTCCTCTCGCCTGGGAGCCTGGCCCGGCTGGTTCGGAGGGGGGGGGAGGAAAGCTGGTCAACGGTGCCAGCTGGCCTCGGCGGACTCATCTTCTCCAGAAGTCCTCCCAGACGCCCCAGATCGCTCAAATCAGGTCCAGGAGGGCACCGAGACGGCCCAAGATGGTGTCAACAAGGCTCGAGAAGCCTCCAAGACGCCCCAAGAGGGCCCCCACGAGGGCCTCCAGAGATAACATGTATAAGCGTTCCATATGTTTCGATCGATTTTCGGATTCTCGCGTGTTCGTGCCTCTGAACACCCAAGACGGCCCGAGATGTCCTCAGTCGGGCCCAAAACCACCCAAGAAGGCACCAAGAAGGGCCCAAGACGGCCCCAAAAAGGTTAAAGAGGCCCCCAAGACAGCCCAAGATGCCCTCAATACGGTCCCTGGAGGACCCCAGGAGGGGAACTCGAAGGATCCCTGGGAGCTCTCCCATACAAGATGGCCCCGACCCGCCCAACATGCTCCCAAGAGAGCTCCACGAGCCCCCCCTGAGGCCCAAAGGGCTTGTAAACGACCCAACAGGGCCCCTTTCGAGGACGGTTTTGGGTTCCTGGATAGATGCACGGCGCCACCGCGCTTCTATGATAATGCCCTTCCTAAAAAGAGAAACATCCATGGCTCCCAAGGGGTCGGCGGTACGCCGTGAGCAAACGAATTAATGGTAAAACGAAGACGAACAAACAACTGTCCGATCGTTTTCAAAACCCACTGCGGCGCTGACCACGTCGTCGTCGCCAGACTGCATCTTTCCGGTGACGCGCGCCCAGAATATACCGAAGTCGTCGTCCTGGAAAAGGAAGCGCCCCGTCAACAACTCGAACAACAGGCACCCGAGAGACCAGATGTCCGCGGCCTGGCTGGTGCCGACCTTCTTGCGGCGGTCGTGGTGGAACCCCCCCTTGTTGGAGACGTTGTGCAACTCCAACATCTCGGGGGGCTTGACTATCTCGGTGCCCCGGTTTTTGACGTCCAGGTCGTCGTCCACGGCCATCACCCTGGACTCACCGAAGTCCGCCAGCGCCACTGTCGGCACCTCCACCTCGCCGTCGCCGAACTGTGACTGGCCCGTCGTCCCCCCGACGTCAACCATGACGTTGTCACACTTCAGGTCGTAGTGGACAATGCCATGACTGTGCAACACTTCGACTGCCTTCAGGATCTGCCAGTAGACCGCGAACAGCTCGCGGAGGTGATCTCCCATCGAGCCGCGCAACGAGTCGCGCCATTTTTTCAGCGTTGTTTTGTAGTACTTCAGGACGAGCCAATACCCTGATTCGTCGACGCCGTAGTCATACAACTGGCACAGATGATCCTCGAAGCGGATCCGGTCCAAGCAAGCGACCTCGCTGAATACGTCGAAGAATACACATCTGTCTTGGATGTTGCTCTGCTTCGGGATCTGCTTGATCGCCACCACGCCCGTGTCACTGAGCTGGGTAGCGCACTTGTACACTGTGCCGAAAGCGCCGCCCGCGATGCGGGTCCAGTCCGTGTACATCCAGCGGTGCATGGCGCTCTCGCAAAGAAGCTTGAGGAGGCAGAAGCTGCCAACGGATCCGGCGACCTCCACCTGCTGGAAGAGCCGCGGGAGTATCCCACGGTTGGCGCTGTGGTTGAGGTGCAGGCTCAGCAGGAACGGGATGTTGCGCATGTGCTTGGAGGTCGGGTACTGGTCGCAGTACCGAGGGTCGAGGAGCCCGTGCCTGGAGGTCACCAAGAGCACCAGAGCCAGCGTCAGCATCAGCACGTGGAGCTCGGAGTCCTCGTATATTCGGCGGCGCTGGCGCCCCTCGAAATAGAACACGTTCTGGTGCACGATGCTCGCGCTGGGGATATCGATGGCCTCAGGAGCAGCCGCGCCGCCGTGCGCGCCCGCCGGCAGGTTCGTGGAGGCGCTGTTGTCGTCCCTGGGCGTGGGGCCCTCGCTCTGCCCAGCGCTGCCGTCCTGCGCGGCCGCGGCGTCTGCCTCGGGCGCGGAGCCGCCCTGGAGGTCCTCCACGGTGGGCTCCTCGGGCGGCGGAGCCCCCAGACCAGAGCAGCCCTGCAGGCTGGGGCGGATGCCCCGGAACAGCAGCTTGGGCACCGCGCGAGGCTTGGCGGCCGCCGCGCAAGCCAGGCCAGCCCGCTGCGCCGGGGCGGCGCCGCTGCCCTGGCGGCCCGAGAGGCCCTCGCCAGGCCGCAGCATGTCCGAGCCCGCGGCGCCGCCCTCGCCGGCGTCGTCGCTGCTGCTGCTGTCGTCTGCGACCTCCTCCACTGCGGCCAGCGCTGTGGCAGGCCCTGGCGGCTCTGGGTCCGAGGAGCTGTCCGAGGCTGCGGCCAGCGCTGTGGCAGGCCCTGGCGGCTCTGGGTCCGAGGAGCTGCCCGAGGCGTCGGAATGAGACGGCGGTGGCGGCGACAAGGCCCCAGGGTAGGTCGACTGCACCGGCTCTCGCAAGGCTGGGGCCAGCACGGGCCCAGGGTCCCGCATGGCGAGGTCCTCTGGCGCAAGGTTCCCGACCGGCTCCTCTGGCGGGGGCGCGCCCAGGCCAGAGCAGCCTTGCAGGCTTGGGCGCAGTCCTTTGAAGGACAGCGACGGCACCCCTCGTGCGATGGGCATCGCCATGTTTGGCGCGGGCGGGCGAGCCGCAGCACTGCTCGAGCGGGAGTCCTCCGCCAGTGGCGCTGGAGCACTCGCAGGCGCATGCTCAGCTGACGACGAGGGCGGTGAGGCTGCTACCTTGAGCGTCAACTCTGGCAGTGCCAGCGGGGGCGCGCACGACGGCGCAGCAGCTGGGGAGGGTGCAGCAGAGCCTGACACCATCACAGAGTCTTCTGGGTCAGAACTGTCGCTGGTCTCATCCGCCCGCTCGCCGCGCTCGTCGTCCGCGCCGTCCCCGCCGAGCCCGTCGTCCTCGTCGGGCGCCAGCTTGCAGGAGGCCTCCTCTCCGTCAGGCCGGGCCTCCTCTGCGTCAGGCTGGGCCTCCTCTCCTGTGCTGCTGTCGGTCTCCGTCAGGCTGGGCCTCCTCTCCGCCTGGGCCTCCACGACGGCATCCAGGACGCCGGCGGCGCCCACGCCTGCCGGCGCGGGGCCTCCAGCGGCCGGCACTGGCGCCGCGGCGGCGGATCCGGGCGCCTCCGCGCCGTCCTCGAAGCCGGGCTCCTCGGGCGGGGGAGCGCCCAGGCCGCTGCAGCCCTGCAGCGAGGGCCGCAGGCCGCGGAAGACGAGCCTGGGCACCGCCCTGCCTGCCTTGGGGGCGCCCGGGGGCGCCAGGCCGAGCAGCGGCCCACGGCCCGACGGCGGCGGCGAGTCTGGCGCCCTCGGGGACCCAGGCTGCCCTGCGGGGGGCGGCGGCGGCGGCGGCGGCGGCGCGGGCATGACTGGAGTCGGCAAGGGCTGCATGGGCTTCGGTGCTGCTCGTGGCCCCGCCGACGGGCTCGGGAGCGAAGTGCTGGAGCCGTGGATCGGGCCGCTCGAGCTGCTCTTCAGCGCCTGCTCCTTCGCTGCACGCACGAAGCGGTCGCGCATCTGCGTGGTCTCGTGCTCCAGATCAACCTCGCCGGCCAGGAAGTCCAGCGCGGAAACCTGGTGGAAGGCGCGCCGACAGAGGTCGGCCTCCGTCTGCAGGGAGGCGATCGCGAGCAAGGTCTGGAGGTGCAGGCAGCAGAGGCGCACGCACTGCGCCACGGTCGCGCCCTCGACCCGGCGGCTGTTGTAGAGGCGCACGAACGCGAGGAAGTGGCGCCGCACGTAATACTCGGCGACGCTGGCCTGAGACGAAGCCAGGACGAGGATAACATCGAGTGAGGATAAGTCGAGAATCTCTGGCATCGATCGCTCTGGAGGATGTCTCGGGCGACGCGGCCTTCTCAGAGCGTTCCGGCATGCTCCGAGAGCGTTCCGGAACGCTCTGGAACGGACTTGTCCTTGCCTTAGCTGCCCCGATACGCAACACGCAACACGTGGCGTACTGATACGGAGCTCAACACGTGGGCTGAATACGCGGGTCCGACGCGATACGTTCGCCAAAACGTGGGCCAATACGTGGAGCCAACACGCAGCGTACTGACACGGACGTCTTGAACACGGGACGTGTTGCGTTTCAATACGGGCGTATCGAGACAACTAAAGTCCTTGCCCTATAGCCCCGTCCGATGGCCTCCTGCGCATAAGCCGTCGCCGCCACGGCCGGGACCCGGAAGAGCGCCCGCTCGCAGGCGACGAGGCGCGGCTGGAGCGGCCCGCCGGCCAGCGGCAGGCGCCGGGCCAGGCGGCAGAGGAGCCCCGCCGGCGGCAGGAAGGCGAACTGGAGCCAGTCGAGGATGCCGCAGGCGAGCGCGTGCGGCGCCGCGGGAGCGAGGTCGAGGTCGCCGCCCGGCGGTGCGGCGGCGCCGACCCGCGCGCCGCTCCGCAGGGGCGGCAGCCCCTCCACGCCGTGCGCGCCGCCAGGCGGCGGGGGGGCCCCCTCGACGGTGCGGCTGAACTCCAGCAGCGCCTCGAGGAAGCCCAGGGTCTGGTGCAGGAGCCCGTGCGTGGTGGTGTCCTGGGTCCCCCTTCCGAGGCAGCTGGAGGCGCCGACGCGGATGGGGTCGCAAGGCGGCTGGAGGAGCAGCGCCGCCGGGCCCTCGGCCTCCGCAGCCTTCCAGAGCTGCTCGAGCACCTGTGGCAGCAGCGCCCAGAAGCGCCGTGTGGGCTTGGCGGCCTGCGAGTCTCCTCCAGGAGAGCCAGTCGGCGAAGCTGCGGGCGTCAGCGAGCGGCGCTGTGACATCGAACCTGCACCCACGGCAGCACCAACGTGCCGTCCTTGCTGGGGGCCGCCCCCCCCCCCCCCCCCTCTCGGGGGGCATGCGACTGTGAACTATGCTGCTGGACTGCCACATTCTCTTTGTGCTGTCTTTTGCTTCACGCCCTTCCTTTCCCCATTCCGAACCCTCTCCACTGTCCACCACAGCAGTTTCACCATTCGGGCTGAATTCTTAAGTGCAGCTGCGTGCTGAGGGGCAGCGACGGCGGCCGCGCTAGTTGTGGTGTTGCTCCGCCACCTGAAGGAAGGGCGCCTGAGGGAGAGGGGCCCGAGTGTAATACCGTCTTCCAACAGCAAGCCTTTTGCGCCGCGGTTCCCCGTGGCTGTCAAGCAGGGTGGGCGCTGAGCCTCCGATGGGTACCGCATGAGCGCTGCAGCAACCAACGTCAGCAGGGCAGCAATGTGTGCGGGAAAACCCTCGAGGACTATGTAGCTGGATCGCATAGGACATGTTGACACCTCTCTGCGATGGCTTCAACGCGGCCTCGACGTGCACCTCAAATCCTCGAAGACCCTGCGGGAACCACGTCTGGGGCATGTTGAGGCCCTCGAAGCGAGAGTCTCAACATGATGTCAACATGGCTTCAATGTGTACCCCAAGTCCTCGAGGACTATGTGGAACTTGCGTCTGGGGGATGTTGAGGCCCTCACCGCGAGTGCCTCCACGCGGCCTCAACGTGCACCCCAAGTCCTCGAGGACAATGCGGGAAGCCCACGTGGGGGATGCTGAGACCTTCGCCGCGAGGGCCTCGACGTGGCCTCATCGTGGGCGATGAATCCTACCGGGAATCACGTCTAGGGGGAGGCCCTCGCGGGAAACGCCTCACATGGCCTGGCATGGGCCAGAAACCTTTCAGAGGCAACGCCGAGGTCCTCCCTTGCGGGCCTCGGCGCGGGCCCGAGTCCCCCGGGCAGCGTTTGCGTTGGCATGAACACTCGAAGCTGGACAAGCGAACGGGTGTATGGGGGGGCCCGCGACCCTCCAAAACGCCACCTCGGGGGGGGGTCCTTCAGTATCCTGCCGCTCTAGGTTGCCCAAAAATTCCCACGGGGACGCCACCGGATGTCTCCAGCAGAGCGGAAGACAGCCCAAACTAGACTTAAGATTCCTCAAGATGGCCCCGACCCCCCCCGGAGAGAGCATAAACACTGAACATTCTGAGTGCTTCAGATGTTCTTGGCCCGTCCCAGGTGTTTCTTCTGGGATGTCCAAGCGCTGCTTCAACACAGCCCCGGGAGCCCCCCGAGATTGTCCAAGACGGCCCCAAGGCCACCCCCCTGACAAAATCCCAGATCGCCCAACATTAGATGGCCAAGCGAGTTCACAAGATGGTCCCTATACTGCCTCCAAGAGGTCCAAGATGGGCCCCCAAGCCAAGATGGGCCCTGGAGGTCCCTACATTAACGAAGGTAACGCAAAGGTGGTGGGCCCAAAGGTCTCCCCAAATCCCCAAAGCCCAAGACGGCCTAACAATGTTCCACACCTGTCCCACTATAATAGCACGGATGCTCAGCCTGGGGGGCCGACGGCAGAGGCCGCAGCCCTTTAGATCCGGCCGCTCCCGCCCTGCGGGTTGGGCCGTGCGAGACCTCTCTGACACAGTGTCTGGCACAGTCTTTGGCTCCCTTCTCCAGTGCCTGGTCAAAAACCTCCTGAAAATCCCTCCGAGGGGGCCCCACTCTGCCGCCGGCCCCACTCTGCCGCCGGCCCCCTTCAAGGTCTCAAACTGCCCGGGGACGACCCAAGGGCGCCCCAAGCCGGTCCCAGAGAGTCCAGAGCAGTCCAAGAGAGCCTCCAGACGGTTCCAGATCGCTCCAAGACGCCTAAGACGGCCTCCAGACGGCCCAAAACGCCTCCAAGACGGCCCAAGAGGGCTCCAAGAGCACCCCCAAGACAGCCCCGAGAAGCAAACATCATTGATTTTTCAATGGTTTTTGAAGGATTCTCACGTTCACGCCATTTCGGCTTACCCACGCTCCACGACGGCCCAAGAGGCCCCCAAGATCGCCCCAGGACGGCCCAACAGGCCCCCAAGACGGCCCCAAGACGGCCCAAGAGGGCCCCAAGACCGCCCAAGAGGCCCCCGGGACGGCCCAAGAGGGGCCCCAGGATGGCCCCAAGAGGAGGCCCAGAAGGGGTACCCGAATGAACATGTCGAGCTTTCGGCTCAAGAGGTCCCCAGGAGGCCCTCAGCGGCCCCCTGGAGGCCCCCAACAAACCCCAAAAGAGCCCCAAGAGGCCCCAAGAGGGCCCCCAGAGGTCTCCAAGAAGCCCCTTGGAACGCTCCCAAGAGGCCCCTAAACTGCCCCGCAGATGCCCCCGAGAGCCCTCTCGAGAGACCCCAGGAAGCGTCCATGAGGACTCCGTCCGACCCAAAACCCAAGCACGGTGGCGGGATGGGCCGACGGCTATTTGATCCGCCGCCCCCTGCTTGCAGGGGTGCACGGCGTGCTGGACGTTTCAGGTTCTGGTTTTGGTTCTTTTTCTAAAAGAACTCCCCAGTGGGCTTCGGCCCGTCCCGCCGGCCACCCGTAATTTTCTCAAAATCCGTCTGTCAATGCCTTTGTTGCCCCAACTTGGCCCAAGATGGCCTCCAAGACGGCCAAGATGGCCCAAGATGGCCTCCAAGATGCCTCCCAGACGGCCAAGATGGCCTCCAAGACGGGTAAGATGGCTCCAAGATGCCTCCAAGACGGCCCAAGATGCCCTCCAAGACGGCCAAGATGGCCCCAAGATGCCTCCAAGATGGCCCAAGAGGCCTCCAAGACGTTCTCCAGGAGAGCCCGAAGAGGCCAAAATCATTGGTTTTCCTTAGGTTTTTGAAGGTTTTTTGCGTTTTCTTCTTTTCGGCCTTCCGACGGCCCAAGAGGCCCCCAAGATCGCCCAAGAGGCCTCCAAGAAGGCCCTATGACGGCCCAAGGGCCCCCCAAGACGGCCCCAAGAGCGCCCCAAGACGGCCCAAGAGGCCTCCAAGACGCCCAACATGGCCTCCAAGACGGCCCTGAAGCGCCCCAAGAGGGCCCCAAGACGGCCCAGAGAGGCCCCCAAGACGGCTCCAGACGGCGTCAGACGGACCAGGAACGCCCTAAGACGGCCAAAGAGACCCCCAGGAAGCCCCCAAAGGCCCCCAAGAGGCCCAAGGAGGCCCCCAAGATGCCTCCAAGAGGCCTCGAAGAGGCCCCCAAGAAGCCCCCAACAGACCCCAAGGGTGCCCCAAGAGACTCCTAACAACCCTCATCCTCCTACTCTATTTCTTCCTCTTCCTCTTCCTGTTCATAATCATTCTCTCCCATGTGTTCCCCGAAAGCTTTCCAAACCGACTCGGGGAACTCATGGTCCGATAGCTTGGCCAAGCTCTAGTCCAACTTTCGGCCACATCGGCGTTTCCAAAAAGGCAGGGGGCGGCGGTGATTCGCCGTAGGCGTCTTCGATAGCTGGCATACGCGCCGCGTCACGACTTTCGATGCTGCGCACCTCTTCGAAAAACTCCCAGGGAGCGGCCGGTGATGCGCCGCCGGCGTCCTCGATCCGACCGCTCCCGCCCTGCGGGCTGGGCCGTCTGACAAAGTGCCTCGTAGGATCCGCCTGGGTCTGGTCAACATCTCCCCTGAAGTTCTTCCTATGGGCCTCCACTCTGTCGGCGGTCCCTCGCAGACCCCCCCAAGTCGACGCTTCCAAGAAATCTCCAGGGCCCCAAGACGACCCCAAAGAGCCCCAAGACGGCCCCAAAAAGGGTTCAAGAAGGCTCCACGTCGCCGACAGACCGCCCCAAGACGCCCAAGATGGCCTTGAGGACGGTCCACGTGGCCCTCAAGACGCCCCAGGCGGGCTTCAAGAGGCCTTCCAAGAAGGCCCCGAAAGGCAAACATCGATCCATTCCTATATATGGGAAAACGTCTACTTCTAGCATGTGCGACCTTTAGGATTCTGAGCGTCCACGACGGCTCTGGAGGCGCCCAAGATCGCCCAAGACCCCCTTTGACGTTAACGGATCCAGGGCCCAAAGACGACTCAAGAGAGCCCCCAGACGGCCCCCAAGTCAGTCCGAAAGAGCTCCGAGTCAGCGACAGATCGCTCCAAGCCGCAAGACGGCCCACGAAGCCCCGAAGACGCCAGAAGAGAGCCTCCAGATGCTTTCCAAGACGGCCTCACGAAGCAAAATACGTTCCATTCCTTCAGGAAGACGTGCGTTTTGAGCGTGTGCGACTTTTGGACCCTCAGAATGTACACGACGAGCCTACAAGCCCCCACGATCGCCCGAAGATCGCCCCAGAGAACCCGAAGAGGGCCCCAAGACGTGCCAAGACGGCCCCAAGACGGTCCAAGACGCGCCGAAGACGGCCCTTGATGGCTCCAAGCGAGCCCTGGAGCCAAAACTCGAAATTACATTTCCAGCTTCCTGCCCAAACGGAACCTCCCAGACCGCCAGCTGGCCTCCAAGAAGCCCCCGAAAAGACCCAACAAACGCCCCAAGAGGCCCCCAGACTGCGCGCAAGAGCCCCGAAAGAGTCTTCAAAACTGTCTCCAAAAGACTACCGACCAAATGCGTCAAACTCCCAGGGGGCGGCCGGTGATGCGCCGCCGGCCTTCTCGATTCACATCTGGACTGCGAAGCACGTCCGAGAGACGGGCGTGTTCTGGTAGATCCAGGATGATTCGCCCTTGTGTAACTCGAATCTCCCTCAACCCCCCTCGGGGCTCGCCCTGTGCAATGCTGCCGCCCCCCCGCAGCCCGAGGAAGTTCTCGATGTAGGGTCCCGCAAGTTCGTTGAGGCTCTGGGTGGCTCCAAGATGGCCTTCGATACCCCCCACATGGCTGCTTTTCGGGCTTCTGCAATTCTGGCTTCCACGAACCCCACTCGGGCTTCCGCTAGCCCAAGACGGCCCCAGAGGCTCCTGGAACCACCCTAGAACGGCCCAAGAAGAAGCCTTCAACAACGCCACGAGATGGCTTAAGAGGGCCCCAACAGCTCCCAAGGCAGCCCAAGAAGCCTCCTATACTGACCAAAAGGTCCCCAAGGAGGCCCCAAGAGGAACCCTAAACGGGGAACTCGAATTAGCCTTTCGAGCCGTTCCCTCCAAGGTGGCCCCAACATGCCCCAGGAAGCTACCAAGATGTCCCCAAAACGCTGGCAAAACATCCCAAGCTGGAAGCCATTCCCGCCAACATGATCCCAAGACCCCATAGAGGCCCCACAAGAGGCCCCAAGACCCACACAGGTGGGTTACAAAGGCACCCAAGAGCCACACAAGAAGCCCCGCAAGATCCCCTCGAATGACCCAATTCCTGTGGAACGCAACCCAGGCGCAGAGGCGAGATGGGTCGATGACCACCAGATTTCTGCCCTCGCATGAGATCCACCACTGCCCTTTGCCCAATTCCCCTTCCGCCTCTCGCGCCCGAACTGTCCGCTTCTGAGAATCGGCGGCACAGGCCGTACGGCCCTTGCAATCGAATGTACTTGCGCGACGGAAGCATTTCTCGAAATTCCGTCTGGCATTTCTCAACTTTCTGGCCGTGCACGGCTTTCGCGCACTCAGAAATAAAGAACTGTGCCAAGAGGGCCTCAAGACGGGCACGATATTTTTCGAAGACGGCCGGACACCGGCCAAAGAGGGGAAGAACGGAAGAACAGGGATCCAAGACCGTCCCAGAGGGCCACTCCAGGAGCTGAGTTGAAGCACTTCCCATTGTATTCTCAACATCCACTATCGACCGCTAGTGCCTTGCGCTGAGGGCGTTCCTGCGGATCCCTGCTCCTGTGTTCCCCTAGTCGTTGCGGGAACAGGTGGGGGCTCATTGCTGGCTGCGGAATGACATTGTCCTGCAACTCGCTTCTCTTACATTGAACGCTACACCCTGTCGCGCACACCACTTATTCCATGAATGCTATTGGAATGTCTGGCCACACAAGGAGTGCCCCAAAGACGGGGGGCGGAGGTGACTCCCCGTAGGCGTTCTCGAGGACAACAACGTATAAATTTGACAACCTAGATCGCATGCAGCATCGATACCGGAAGAAAACGCTATCCGACTCCCCCTGCGAGGGCCCCTTTCTGTGCACGCTATCCGCTGCCAAGGCTGGTTCGGTCCACGCTATCCCCAAGGCGGGGGGTTAGCGTGTCATGAGCTGGCCGCCAGCGCCACGTGTCACGCTATCTTTCCAACGCCAACCGTACGTTATAATCCTTCCCTCGAGTCCTGGCGAACCCGCGCCCCGCCGGGGGGCCACCGCTGGTCGCCCGGCAGCGCCAGCTGCCAGGTTGTGCAGGGAATCGTGGGATGCGGAGCGGCGCCGCGGTGGCTCCCCCGCACTGGCCCGAGCACTGGCGCGCGCCCGCGATGCGCTCGGCGGCGCTGCTGCGGGTGGCAGGGCCGACAGGGGCGAATCCAGCAGCTGGGTCAGCAGCTCCTGTCCCAGCGACCCTCCCTGGGCGCCCCCTGCGGCGGCGCAGGCGCGCAGCAGCGCGCCTGCGAGGCGGAGGTATGCCATCCAGAGCCGCAGCCGCGCTGGCGGTTGCAGCCCGTCTGCCTCGCTGCAGAGGTGGGCCTTGAGAGCCGCAAGGGCCGGCCCGACCACCCGAAAGGCCTGCTGCGGCAACGCCAGGCCGCCCCCGCCGCACCGCAGGTAGGAGGCCAGCAGCTGCAGCAGCAGTGCCAGCCGGCCCTCGCGCCAGGTCACCTCGTCTTCACTCTGAGCACGGCGCAGGCCCATGAAAGCCTGCGACAGGGCGCGCTCTGCGTGCGTCAGGAAAGGGTCGGGGCCAAGCCGGACGTGCCACGCGGAGGCTGGCTGACCCGAGGACTCGGCTGCCAGTTGGGACAGAGGCGGCACAGGCGGTGCTGGCGGCGGCGCTTCGAGCGCTGCCGAGCCCTCGGCAGGGCGCTGCGGTGTACGCCAACCCATCGCCAGGGCAGGGGACAGCTTGTCTGAGTGCAGCTCCTGCGTCCTCCGCGAGTGCGCGCCAAGAAACTGCCAGATGCATTCCGCGAGAGCGTCATCGACGCAGACGCACACGTCCTCAGCGCTGCCTCGTAGAGACGTAGGCGCGCCACAGGCGCATCGTCGCGAGGCGCCGCTGCGCCGCAAGCGCTCCTGAAGCTGCGCCACCCGCCTCAGCCTCTCCGGCGCCAGCCGCTGCTGCAGCCCGCCTAGTGCTGGGGACTCAGCAATCGCCGCCAGCTCCTCCGTCACATCGGCTGCAGGAAGTGCGCCGGGACTGGCGATGCGCTCGGGCTCGTCCTCGAAGGAGAAGGAGCAGGCCCCGGCGCGCGAGCAGGACCCCTGCAGCATGTCGAACAGCCTGCCCGCGGGGACGTGTGGGCCGAGCAAGCGCGCTGAGGTCCCCGCGCCGACGCCGACGCACAGCCGCTCCAGCACCAGGCACGCGTGCAGCCGCGCCCCTCGGGTGGCCGCTGCGGGCGCCGGGCTGGCGGAGAGGTCGGCGCTGTCCCTCGGCGATCTGGAGGACGGGTGTGCGCCGCCGCCGCTCGCCGACAGCGCGAGCATGCCAGAGGCTCCGCTCAGCACCCTGCGGCGCCCCGAGTCGAACGGGCCCGCCGCCGTGGCGAAGCGTGCCGAGCGTGACGGCGAGCCGACTGGGGAATCCTTCGGCACTGCGGGCTCCCTCGACGGGGAGTCCTGTCAACGGCGCGCGCGCAAAGGGGTGGCGCGAGAGTCGCTGCACTTTGAGAAGGTGGGGGGCTCCTTAGAATGCCTCCCTGCTTCGAAGAAGCCTCTGTGCCCTTCTAAGACCCCCCCCCCGCCTTGCCAGCAGGCCGCCCCTTCTCGCCACCCCTTGCGCGTGCCGCCAAGGTCCTGTAACGGCCTCTCCGTGGGCTTCTTGTCGGCGGCCGGCCCCGTGGCGGGGCGGATGGAGTCCATGACGGCCTCCTGCACCTGCAGCTCCTGCTTGTGCTTGACCAAGTCGCTCAAGTCCATCAACAGGCAGGCCTCGCCGAGCGTCTTGGCAAGCTCATCCGCCTGCCGCTTGACCTGCTTCTCTGGGTCGCCCTTGAGGGTCATCGTGACCGGCACCTGCGCAGCGCCAGGCGCATGAGGATGCTGTGATCCTGGCGGCGCGGCCGCGGACGGCGCGCTGGCGCAGCCCCACATGAAGCCCAGCCCCATGAGCGGTGCCGACAAGCTGTTCGCGACATTGGAGAGCAAGCTGGAACGGCTGCTGCCGCTCACTGGCGGCGAGGGCGCGCGGCCGGAGAAACCGATGCCGGAGCCGCCGCCCCTGACCGCGCCAGGGGTCGCCGGCTGCCCTGGCGGCGTCCGTGCCGTTCGGCGGCTCTTCAGGCGCCGCGACGAGCGCGTCATGGATGGGGTCGGGGCGCCCTCGTGGCCGCCCGTCGCCGGGCCCCCGACCACCGCGGCCAGGTCCAAGTTCAGAGGCGGGACTCGGACCTTCCGCGAGTGGACGGCCGCTGGCTGGAAGCTGCTGTCGCTGTGGGCCGAGCTGCCTCGCCGCGGGCGCGACGTGGACCTCCCAGCAGCGGCGCTGTCCTCGTCACCGCGGCCGCTGGGGAAGCTGCCGCCCCTGGGGCTGCCGTCGGCCTGTTCGCCAAACTGGTGCTCGAAGTTGTCGAACGACGTGGCGCGGCACAGGGGGTCCCACAGCGACCACGACAGCTCGGCGCTCGAGGGACCGCCGCGCGCGCTCCTGCCGCTGCGTGCTCCCAGCAGCGACTCCGCCTCGGCGGGGTGGCCGAGGTCGGCAGGAGGCGACCCTCTGCGCAGGCCCTGCCGAGGCCCTTCGCTCGAAGAGGCTGCGCCCGCCTCGTCTGGGCCCCGCTCTGAGGCCTGCGGCGCGGCGAGCCGGAGGGCGCCGCCCGGGCCGCGCACATCGCCGCTCCGCAGTGGCCGTCCAGGCTGCAGCAGCTGGCAGTGCGCCTGGTTCTGGCGGCTCCTGCCTGCCTCGCGGCGGAGCGCGAGGAGCTCGTGCGCCTGCACGGCCACGCCGAACAGCACCTGCACGGCGTCGGTGCTCTTCAGTAGCCACTCCGCCAGCGCCGGCGAAGCGGCGGTCAGCAGTCCGAGCGCCACGAGGCTCGGGTGCCAGGTGGCTGGATTCTCCAGGTACCCGTTGCACACTCGCCAGACAAAAGGGCCAACCACCTGCGTCCTCTGGTCGCACAGCTCCGCCAGAACGTCGCACGCCAGCGTCGAGGCTTCGTCCAGCGTCGCCTCCAGGCCGCCCTCGGCTGCCCCGGAGCTCGGGGGCCCCAGCATCGCCGCCCCGCTGCGCGCCGAGAGCTCGCCCCGGCGCCCACAGGCCTCCGCAGAGCGCACCAGCTGCGAGAACAGCAGCTCGGTGGCACGCTCCAGGAAACCGCCAGGGAAAGGCTCAACGTCCTGCTGACCCTTTTCGTGGGGGAAAAACGTGTCCGTATCCGCGGCCTCTCGGGCCGGGCCCCTGGGCCGCGACCCCATGCGGATGCCCTGCACGGAACGTATCTGTGCGACCACGTATCCGCGGGATCGCGCCCCAGAATCCAGACCGCGAGGGCGCGGATACGGATAATTATGCTCGCCGCTCGTGACCTCCCTAGATGGGTATATACGTGTGTGTATATATATGCATATCGATGTAGATATACACATATGTATGTACATATAGATAGATGTATGTTTGCGTATATACATACACATATGAATGTAGCCCGCCTCCGCTGGCCGGGGCTGAAAAGGCGTGTGAGATGCTTGGCTGTACCCCTCCCCCTTTCCCCCTCCCCACAGAGCCTCCCAGAATCCACCGCCGCTCCACTGTCGTTTCGCCATTTGACAGTGGGCGCCACTGTCAACGGGGTGGGAGAAGAAGCTCGCCACTAACTTTGACAGTGCGGCCCACTGTCAACGGGGCCCACACACAGGCGCGCAGGCGCCATGGCCCCGCATGCCAGTTGCAAAGCCAACTGACAGTGGGGCCCACTGTCGAATGCCCCTGGCCAGCAGCGTCGGGGGCCACCAGTCTCCATGTGACAGTGGAGCCCACTGTCAGATTGCGCAGTTTGGGGGGCGCAAGTCGCTTCGCGGGAGCCTCTTTGACAGTGGCGCCCACCGTCACATTGAGCAAAAAGGGGGGGCCGCGTGAGGCCCCCAATGTGTGTGTGTGTGTGTGTGTGTGGTTGTGTGTGTGTGTGCGTGTGTGTGTGTGTGTGTGTGTGTGCGTGTGTGTGTGTGTGTGCGTGTGTGTGTGTGTGTGTGTGAAATTGAATATCTGTGCTGTATATGTGTGTCTGTCCGCCGACACCCGCTCGCCGGCCTCTCGGGCGCCTCTTGGGCCATCTTGAGGCGATCTCGGGGGCCTCTTCGGCCGTGTCGGGCGCTCTGGCGACCGAGACGCCGAGTATGCGAAACTTGCACCAACACCGCAGGCCAACCAATAATTGTTGCCTTCCAGGGGCCTCTTGGAAGTCGTCTTCGGGCTCCCTTTGTCCATCTGGGGAGATCGTTGGGCCGTCGAGTGGCTATCTTGGGCCCATCTTGGGCCATCTTGGGCCCGTCGTGGCCGTCTGGGGGCGCTCGTCGGGCCCTTCTGACGTCTCCTAGGGCCCTCCAGGGTCGTCTTGGGGCAATCTGGGGCCGTCTTGGGCCCTCCTGGGGCACTCCAGACTCAGGCTCCCTGCACGGTCAGTTTTCTAGGTGCCCTCCTGAGGCGCTCCAGTTGTGCCAGGTCAGTTTTCTATGTGTACCGGTACTCATTATATTAGTACAGCTACCATATTTGCATTTGTATATACATGTGTATATATATAAGGTATAGGCATATGCATTTGTAGTTCTAGACATACATACATATACACATATATATATGTATATAGATGTATATATATATGTATTTACATATACAATTGTGGATGCGTATGTATGCGTATATGCATAAGCCCAGGCAGCTGGATTTGTTATATGCTACATGTATAGGTACACGCATATGTATATGTAACGGTGTTTGTGTATGTGTGTCTGTATGTATATACGTATGTCTGTATGTATGGTGTTGCATGTATGAATAGGCATGTATGTTTGCATGCATGTATGTAGCTACATAGTTTATATGTACAATAAGTGCTTATATATGATACAAACATACGTTTATCCAGGACACGGAGTGGGCGTGTCCTCAGGTCCTATCAATATCCTCTAAGCGTCAGTCCTCGCTCCTGAGGAGTCCTTGAAGGGTTCGAAGTTCGGAGCCTCGCTCCAGGGCCAAATCTTCAGGGGCTTGTTGCGTCTTGTCGCGTGACCGTTTCGGACCTACGAGGGCCCCAAGACGGGCCAAGAGGGCTTCAAGAAGCCCCCAAGATCGTCCAAGAGGGCCCGAGTCGCCGAACTATCGTTCCAAGACGCCCAAGATGGCCACCAGACGGCCCCACGAGGACCCCAAGATGCCAACATCAGGTATTTTCCGTAGGTTTTTGAAGGATTTGGGTGTCCTCGACTTCTCGGCTTCCCGACGCTCCCTGATGGCCCTTGACGCCCCCAAGACCATCCTAAGGCAGCCCAAGAGGCCGCCATGAGGGCCCCGAAACGGCCCAAGAGAGCCCGAAGACGGCCCAAGAGGCGCCCAAGACGGCCCCAACAGGAGCCCCAGAGAGGGAACACGAACAGAGAGCGCGAGCCTTCCGCCCCAAGAGGCCCTCAGGAGGCCCCAAGAGGCCCCCACGCGGTCCCAAGAGGCCCTCAGAAGAGGCCCCCAAGAGGCCCAAAAAGAGGCCCCCAAGAGGAGGCCCAAAAGAGGACCCAAGAGGCCCCCAAACTGCTTCCAAGAGGCGTCCAAACCGCCTTCAAGAGGCCCCCGAGTTGCCTCCCACGAGATCCCGACGAACACCAAAATGGCTTCCCACTCACAACCCAAGCAAGGTGGCGGGATGGGCCGAAGGCCATTCGATCCGCCGCCTCCTGTTGATTCATCACAGGGGTGCCTGGCGTGCTGAACCTTTTCGGTTTTGGTTTTGGTTCTTTTCTTAAAGAACTCCCCCTCTGGGCTTCGGCCCGTCCCGCCGGCCACCCGAAAAGATTGCCCAGGACCTCAATTCCCCAACAAATCCTCCAAGACGGCCTCCAAGATAGCCTCCAAGTCCGCCCAAGATGGTTCAAGACGGCCTCCAAGACGGCCCAAGAGAGCCCAAGATACCTCCAAGGTCGCCCGAGAAGCCTCGAAGACGGCCCAACACGACCCACGAGGCCTCCAAGAGGTCCTCCAGGCGGGCCCGAAGAGGCCAAACTCCTTGATTTTTGTTAGGTGTTTGAAGGATTTTGGCATTTGCTTCTTCTCGGCATTCCGACGGCTGAAGACGGCCCAAGAGGCCCCAAAGATCGCCCCAAGATCGCCCAAGAGGCCTCCAAGATGGCCCCACGGCGGCCCAAGACGGCCCCAAGAGGGCCCCAAGACGGGCCAAGATGCCTCCAAGACGCCCAAAATGGCCTCCAAGACGGAGGGCTCCAAGCCGGTTCAGAGAGGCCCCCAAGACGGCTCCCGACGGCGTCAGACGGGCCAGGAACGCCCTCAAACGGCCAAAGAGACCCGCGAGAAGTCCCAAGAAGGCCCCAAGAGGCCTTCAAGCGGCTCCACGAGAGCCCAAGATAGCACCAACATGGTCTCCAAGACGGTCCCAAGATGGCCCAATCGAGCCCAAGAGTGCCTCAAGAGGCTCCGAAGAGGCATCCTCCCCCTTCTCCTTGTGCCTCCTTCTCCTCTTCTTCCTCTTCCTCCCCCACGTGTTCCCCGAACGCTTTCCAAACCGATTCGGGGAACACATGGTCCGATAGTTTGGCAGGCCTCTGGCCACAACGTTCGGCCACATAGGCGCTTCCGAAAGGGCAGGGGGCGGCGGTGATTCGCCGTAGGCGTGTTCGATATCTTGGTTGGGCTGAGGCACCATGGCCCGCTGGGGATGGGGATCGGTGAAACGATGCTGGTTGGCGGCGCGCAGAGGGGGGCAGGGGGAGGAGGGAAGGCTCCTTAGAAGGAGGCTGCCTCTCAGAAGGCGCGGGCCTTACGTCTGCAGAGAAGGCCCGCGCCTTCTGAGAAGCAGCCTCCTTCCAAGAAGCCCTCCCTCCTCCCCCGAATTGCCCCCTCCTCTGCGCGCCGCCGAGCTGGGTCCTTCTGGCCCTCCTCCGCCGCCCGGCGCACCGCGCTCTGCAGCCTCGCCAGCCGGCGCGCCTGGAGCTGCGCCGGCTCCTCCTGGCCCAGGCCGTCCAGGAGGCCGAGGGCCGCCTGCGGGGGCGCCTCGTCCTGTGCCCTGCGGAGGGGCAGGGCTTGGGTCGACTACGGTAGGTTCGTGCGGCGTCGGCGCGCGCAGAGGTTTTTGACACCGCGTCGATCGTTCTACCTTGAATCGATCGCGGCCCCGATCGTTCGAGGTTGAATTCATTCGGGCCCAGTGGCGTTATCGTGTCCCTCGGTGCTTCCGCGTCGCAGAATTCAACCTTGAACGCCTTCGCCGGCGTCGCAGGCGCGCCAACGCCGCGCGAACCTACCGTACACGCAAGAGTGACCCTGGGTAAGAGGGACCTCTGGTGCGCGGCTTCTTGGGGGCCGCGGAGGGGCCAAAAGCGAGCGCGCGAGGCGCAACTGCCGCATCGCGTTCGGCGATCGGGGGGCCCCGTGGGGCCCGCACCAAAAGGTCACTCCGGCGAAAGGTCACTCTTACGCGTAGTCGATTGGGGGGGGGGACCAGCTCCGGGCTGGAGACGTCGAGCTGGAGTCGGCGAGACGTCGGCAAGAGGCGGCGACAGAGCCCCGATGGCGACACCGCACGGTCCTGGGCGGGGCGGGACATCGGGCCCCTCTCGGCGATGAGAGTTCGATCGGGGGTCGCTGCGTCCCCCCTGAGCCCATCCCCCCCCGAAGCTTTGCCCCCGACCTGCGCGGAGAGGGCGGCAGCGGACACGCCCGCGTGCCCAGGAATTGTTGAAACACGTCCCGGAAGCTCCACAGGATGTGGCCGGCGTCGTCTCGGATGCGGCGAGACTTAAAGTCGAACACGACGCCCTGGGACACGATCTTCCTTGTGTCCGCATCCAGCTTGCAGAGCACCACGCTGGCCGTCAGTGCTGTGCGCCGCGTCAGGATCAGGTGGTCCCTGGCGCGGAGGAGCGACTGGAGGTCCACCGACTCCACGGGCTGATCTATGAAGTTCGGAGCCCTGACGATCGCGCCCAGCCAGGTGCGCAGCGTGGGCGTGAAGCCCGTGAGCAGCTCGTGCACCATCTCGAAGTGGTGCTGCTCCGTGTGGAAGACCAGGCGGCGGGCCTCGCGGCCGACCGGGCGGAGGTGCACCCAGTAGTACTCGTAGTGGATCACTGTCCTCACGTACTTGAAGGAGATGAACAGCTGGTAGCGGCGGCCGCCGGCGCCGCCGAGCCCCGCGGAGGCGGCGGCGCCGGCGGAGGAGCCCGCCATGCAGGACCGCTCCACCGGAGCGCCGGCGGCTCGGCCCGTGGCCTGTGGCCCGCGCGGCTCGCACTGGATGAAGACCACAACCTCGGAGGGCAAAAGCAGTGCGGTGAGGGCATTGGATAGGGAGCCCTGGGATGAGGAATCCAGGGTCTGGAAGCCGGCGGAACACCAATCGAGGCTTGGCCGTGGATGTCACCGCCGCCCTCCTCAGATAAGGAACCCTCCAGGGTCTGAAGCCTCCAGGGCGCATTCCGTAACGAACGCCCCCACCGTATCAATGTCGCGCCGGTCGGACGATGCCATCAGCGCGTTACGCTGGAAGCAGGACCAGGCTGTTGTGCGGAGCTCACTGTTTGAAGGACGACGCGCGCGGCATTGATACTTCCTAGCTTGGGAAGGCCCAAACGTACCCCCAGGACGACGTACCCCCCAGTGAGGTGTCGCCGCGGCCACCTTTCCAGCCACAGTGGGCGTTGAGACGCAGCCGTTGGGCGTCCCAGGTGGGTCCTGAGGCCCCCTCTCCAGGGTACGTGTTCTGGGGTACCTCTGGCCTCCCCTGATTACCCCTCCCGACAGCCGAGCCCGGATCGGACTCCAGGAGCAGCTCCTCGGCCGCCGCGCGCGACGACGCGCGCACCTCCAGCTGCTGCTCTCCGCGCGCGGCCCTGTGGAAGAGCCCGCGGCGCCGGGAGGGGGTGATCAGCGCCACGGACTGCCGCTCCGGGGACCCCGACGGCGACGCTCGCTCATCGACGTCCGCGCTGGCGGCCAACACGGCGGCGCCGCCTTCATCGCCGAAGGCACCACTAGCGGCGCCGACTGCGGACCCACCACCCGGCGCCGCGGCGGCCGCGGACATCCCAGAGGCGAAGCCTCCGTGTTCAGCACTGCCTGGGGCACTCACACGGCAACGGCCGCCGCGGCAGCGTCGCCATCATGCCAGCGTCGGGACACCCGAGGTGCGGGTGCTGCACTCCTTGAGCCACGGGGGCTTCGGTCCATGCTTGTCCAGACCCGCCTTAGGAGCAGCGCGCGCGGCTGATGGGGAACAATAGCCGAAACGTCAACAGTTGAGGTCGAACCCTCTCTGTGGCGGAAGCCTTCCCACCACTCGAACACTGGTTCAATGGAGATTTGATGTTTTGGGCCCTGACTCCGACCTTCAATCCTTCCTTGTCCTGCTTTCCCACCCTCCTTTCTCCCGCTCCTGCTGCTGGCACTCTTCCTCTGAAGTTCTCTTCCCTCCTCCTCTCCCTCCTCCTCCTCTTCTTCCTCCTCCTCTTCTTCCTCCTCCTCCATTCTTATACTTCTGGGAAACAGAAAACGTCAGCCACATGCCGCTGCCGGGAGCACATCAGCGCACTACTCTTCAAAGGCACGCCAGGCCCACGGTCGATGAGCGAAGGAGCAGCACGCTGACGGGCTCCCAGCGGCGGCGTGCCACCGATGCCCTCGTTGCCTTCCCGAGCCTCTCTTCCTCATCGCTCCTCGTCCCGCCCCAGCTCTCACTGCTCCTGCTCCTCCTTCGTCCTCCTTCCTGCTCCTCTGAAGGGGCCCTGGGACACACACACAAACACACACACGCACACACGCACGCACACACACACACCCACACACACACACAACACACAACACACACACAACACACACACACAACAAACAACACACACCACACACCACACACCACACACCACTTACCACACACCACACACCACACACCACACACGTCACACCACACACCACACCCCACACACCACACCCCACACACCACACACCCCACATCCCACACCCCACACCCCACAACCCACAACCCACAACCCGCAACCCACAACCCACAACCTACAACGCACAACCCACAACCCACAACCCACAACCCGCAACCCGCAACCCGCAACCCGCAACCCGCATTCCACATCCCGCAACCCGCAACCCGCAACCCGCAACCCGCAACCCGCAATCCGCAACCCGCAACCCGCAACCCGCAACCCGCAACCCGCAACCCGCAACCCGCAACCCGAAACCCACAACCCGCAACCCGCAACCCGCAACCCGCAACCCGCAACCCGCAACCCGCAACCCGCAACCCGCAACCCGCAACCCGCAACACGCAACACGCAACACGCAACACGCAACACGCAACACGCAACACGCAACACGCACCACGCATCACGCAACACGCAACACGCATCACGCACCACGCACCACGCAACACGCAACACGCAACACGCATCACGCACCACGCAACACACACCACACACCACACACCACACACCACACACCACACACCACACACCACACAACACACAACACACGACACACGCAACACACAGCACACAATACACCACACAACACACAACACACACAACACACAACACACAACACACGACACACACACACACACACCACACAGCACACAACACACACCACACACCACACAACGCACAACACACACCACACAACACACGCACACTCACGCACACACACACACCACACACCACACACCACACACCACACACACACACACTCCCACACACACACAACACACAACACACACAAGACACACGACACAACACACACCACACAACACACACACACACTCACGCACACACACACTCTCTCTCACACACACACGCTCACACACTCTGACACACACGCACGCACGCACGCACGCACAAACCCACACACACACACACCCACACCCACCCACACCCACACACACACCCACCCACAAACACCCACACCCACCCACACCCACCCACACCCATCCACACCCTTACACACACATACACACACCACACACCACACACCACACACCACACACCACACACCACACACCACTTACCACACAGCACACAGCACACAGCACACAGCACACAGCACACAGCACACAGCACACAGCACACAGCACACAGCACACAGCACACAGCACACAACACACAACACACACCACACAGCACACAACACACACCACACACCACACACCACACACCACACACCACACACACACAACACACAATTCACACAAGTCACACAAGTCACGCACGTCACACAAGTCACACAAGTCACACTCGCCACACAAATCATACAAATCACACAATTCACACAATTCGCGCGATTTACATCATATGCACAGTTCACACAATTAACACCATTCACACAATGCACACAATGCACACAACCCACACACAATTCACACACACAATTCACACAATTCACACACACACATTTCATATTTCGCATGCACGCACACGCACACGCACACGCACACGCACACGCACACACACACACACACGCACACGCACACGCACACACAGAAACACACACAGACACACGCACACACAGACACACACACAGACACGCACAGACACACACACAGACACCACAGACACCCACACACCACAGACACCCAGACACACACACACACAGAAACACACACAGACACACAGACACACAGCCACCCAGACACCACAGACACCACAGAGCCCACAGACCCCACAGACCCCACAGAGCGCACAGAGCCCACAGAGCCCACAGAGCCCACAGAGAACACAGAGAACACATATAACACAGAGACCACAGAGACCACAGAGACCACAGAGATCACAGAGAACGCAGAGAACGCAGAGAACACGGAGACCACAGAGACCACAGAGACCACAGAGAACACAGAGAACCCAGAGAACACAGAGGACACCGAGAACACAGAGAACACAGAGAACACAGAGAACACAGGGAACACAGAGAAGACAGAGAACACAGAGAACACAGAGAACACAGAGAACACAGAGCACACAGAGCACACAGAGCCCACAGAGCCCACAGAGCCCACAGAGCCCACAGAGCCCACAGAGCCCACAGAGAACACAGAGAACACAGAGAACACATATAACACAGAGACCACAGAGACCACAGAGACCACAGAGAACGCAGAGAACGCAGAGAACACAGAGACCACAGAGACCACAGAGACCACAGAGACCACAGAGAACACAGAGAACACAGAGGACACAGAGGACACAGAGAACCCAGAGAACACAGAGAACACAGAGAACACAGAGAACACAGAGAACACAGAGAACTCAGAGACCACAGAGACCACAGAGCCCACAGAGCCCACAGAGAACAGAGCCCACAGAGAACACAGAGCGAGACCACAGTGACCACAGAGACAACAGAGACCACAGAGGCCACAGACACACAGACACAGAGACCACAGAAGAGACACAGAAGAGCCACATAAGAGGCACAGACGAGACACAGAAGAGACACAGAAGAGACACAGAAGAGACAGAGACAGAGACACAGAGACAGAGACACAGAGAGAGACACAGAGAAAGACACTGAGAGAGACACTGAGCGAGACACAGAGAGAGACACAGAGAGAGACACAGAGACAGACACAGAGACACAGAGACACAGAGACACAGAGACACAGAGGCACAAAGACACAGAGACACAGAGACACAGAGACACGGAGACACAGAGACACAGAGACACAGAGACACAGAGACACAGAGACACAGGGGCACAACGACACAGAGACACATAGACACAGAGACACAGACACACAGGCACACAGACACATTGGCACACAGGCACACAGGCACAGAGACACAGAGACACACAGAGACACAGAGACACAGAGACACACAGAGGGACACAGAGAGACACAGAGAGACACAGAGAGACACAGAGAGACACAGAGACACAGAGACACAGAGAGACACACAGAGACACAGAGACACATATAGACACAAAGAGACACAGAGAGACACAGAGAGACACAGAGAGACACAGAGAGACACAGAGAGACACAGAGAGACACAGAGAGACACAGAGAGACACAGAGAGAGACACAGAGGGAAACACAGAGGGAGACACAGAGAGAGACACAGAGAGACACAGAGAGGCACAGAGAGACACAGAGAGACACAGAGAGACACAGAGAGAGAGAGAGAGAGACACAGCAGAGGCACAGCAGAGGCACAGCAGAGGCACAGCAGAGACACAGCAGAGGCACAGCAGAAACACAGAAACACACACACACATAGACACACACAGACACACACACAGACACACACACACACACAGACACACACAGATACACACAGACACACACACACACACACACGCACACACACACACACGCACACACACAGAACGCGCACACACACAGACACACACACACATTCACACACACATGCAAATACATGCACAGAAATACAAACACATACACACAAGTAACATATTTCCCCACATGTTCCTATATTTTCTGGGTTTTTGTCATCCCCACCCAATATTTTCCTATACTTTCCTGGGGGTCGACGATTATTTGTGTCTGAATGTTTTTTCCCCTCCTGATCCTCGTCCTTCCCCCTCCCCTCCTCCCTGCGCCGACCTGCTGGGTGGCCGGCTGGGGCCGCGGTGTTCTTCGTCGCCGCCCGGCAGGGTGACATAGACAGTCGTCCAGCGCTGTTTCTGAGAGTGGTGCTCCACACTGGCGGCCCCCCCGAGCAAGCGGCCCCGGATGGCGCTGCGGTTCCTGACGTTCCCTTCCGCCGGGTCGACCCGATCCGCCCTCTTTACCTCCACCTCCTGCCCCTGTTCGTGCTCCTGCTTCTGCAAAGTGGGACCTTTCCTTGATCCGTGCTTCGGTGCGTGTCGTCTGCGCGCCTCGTCTCCGTCGTCGTCGTCGTCGACGACGGCGTCGTCGTGGTCGTGGTGCGTTTTGCTCTGCTCGAGACTCGTTTCCCTTCACTGTGCAGTGACCACCACCATGCCATCGCTCGGGCGTCCATTCCCCACGCACTTTTTCGGACTCGTACGCGAACGTTTTGCGCACAAGATGACCCCAAATGCTCCTCGATGGTCCATGCCGACAACAGATGCGCACGTCCGAGCGATGCCAAGGACTCGCTTCCCTGACTTTGCGCAGTGACCACCACGAGCCGCTGCTCCTGCGCCTGCCGCTGCTGCTCCTGCTGCTGCCGCGCC